CGCACCTCCTCAGGTGTGTGTTGGTGGTGCAACATTGTGTGGTAGTATAAAAAATATAACTCAGTACTCACTGCAGTGAGTGACAGCGCATTTTCTCGTCGACGAAAACGTGAAGTCACGGACGGACGGACGGACAGACAGACGGACGGACATGACGAGTACAATAGGGAATTTTTTCCATGAATGAGAAAATGCTCTAAAAACTCCTCCACATATCGCTGCTGGTATATGAGGTGATTGTTGCATTCCTTCTGATGATTAGAAATTTTTAATATTTTTCTAGTTGTCCAATATCTGAATAATTTCACGGTTCATGTTCGCCTTTCTTTTACAAATACCTTCAGTTAGGCTGAAACAAACTAACTCTTTTATAGTATGAGGGATTCATTTTACATGATGCGTGTTGAATTATCTTTCACAATTATCGCAATTATCTTACGTTTTTCAGAAGGTATATCATGAAATACGCGCCATAAAACTAATAAACAAAATTGTTATATGCCTATTTTTTGGCCTACAATTGTTTAACTCTTTACATATTAATTTATTTTTGACTTCAAGGCTAATTTATCAGCCCAAGAAATATGATGCAATATCACATAAGGAAATTAATTTCATCATTTTATGGAGTAAGCAATAATGTAACGGCTTTCATCGCCGTTAGAAATGCAGTAATCTTCAAGTGTTGTCATTCGATTAAGTGATCCATAAGTTCTAAACTCAAAAACGTTGAGATTCTACTCACTTTATTTCGACAGAAATAGACAGGCGATGAATATAGCAATATGAACATCTTTACATCATAGCTACAAAAAGTTGGTGTTGATGAAAAAATTCACTGTTTGCTTAATGTACAGGAAGACGATCAATTTGAGAATGTTGCCTGGAATGAGAGACGGCCAGCTCTGGATGAGGACAATGCAACATGAGGCACTCGATTTTCAGGTTTGGCTGCTGGAACATAATTTATTCTATTTTTTTTTTCATTGTAGACTGCTTCAGTTGCTCAGAAAGAAAAATTAAGAAATCTGGTCAACACTAGGGACATTCGGTACTGTAATGTACTCAAATGTATTGCACGAATGAAATTTTTTGGCGCACTTTTTCCAGACGCTCACTGATGCAGATGTCAACGATGTATACCAAGGCATGGCGAGCTACAGGTACAACTTGGATGTTGGGCCGGCATGGGCTGTGCGATTCCTTCCTCTTTCGCCAAAAAATGAGGACTATATCAAGCGAACAACCATGGAAAACGCGGATAAAAAACTCAAAACACTGCCTCACGTTTGTCACATTGTGATGAGCTTCCACCACGGCATAACCGACGGCTACACTTGCGTGCGAATCATACGACACATCTTGATGCTTTTAAACGATGTAATTTCGGAGACCCCCATTGATGATAGCCAGCAGTATGCTCAAATGCTCGACATAAAGAGGCAAGATTTAATTTCACAAGAATTGGAGAATGCATTCAAGGCTGACCCAAAGCTGATGGACGCTCGGGTAGAGTCTCTGATGAAGTCATTTCCCGAGGCCTTGCTTAGCAGAGCGTACCCACAGCCTTCGAAAACGCCACCAAAAATAGTATGCCTTTCTCGCATTCTTGACAGTAGGAGTACGGCAAACTTTATTAGCCGTTGCAAGAAAGAAGGCATTACAGTTCACACAGGATTCAGCTCGGTGATCGAGGCCAGCATCGTCCAAGCTCTGCTGGACGCTAACTTTCTGCAGGATGAATACACCATTGGAGGACTTCACTGTATCGACCAGCGAAGCTACTTTAACGATGTTGAAAACGCGTATGGTTGCGCCTTTGGTACAATGGATGTCACCACTGATGTATCCACGAATATTGTTGCAAACTTCTGGAGTCACGCTAAGCAGTACCACGCCAAATTTAAAGACCAACAGAAACGAATGAACAGCATGGAACCTGAATTGATAAATAAGCTGACCGGAAAAAACCCATTTGTGTTCATTGACTCTCAAGGCATGGATTCACCTCCTCCCAAGGTTTCCACCTACGCAACCTCAAACATGAGAGACGTCACTGAGATTTTAAGTAACTGTGGGCAGAATGTAGATCTCCTCTACTACGACTGGATGCCAGCGTCACAGGAGCTGGGGATTGAATTGATAAGCTGCATCCACACTTTCAATGGACAACTCCTGTACAACGTGAATTATAACACTCAACTCGTGGACCAAGCACTCGCTCGTAAAATTGCTGATTCAATATTCGAAATTTTTATGAATGTCGTTAAGCAGACTGGCGAGCCAACGATTTCAAAGTTCATAAACGAAATTCAAGAGTAGCGGAAAACTACTGAAGCAGCCTCTGCGTTACCGAGCCTCTGCCGCTCTGCGTTACCGAAAAGTTCTGCTTGAATTTTGTTCATTGATTTCATTCAGCTGATTTTTACGTTTGCTAGTTATACATGGTGCATTATTCATATGTGAAATATTGATTCAATGTTGTCATACAGAATAACGTGAATATTTGACCTATTCAAGTTATTCATGGCCACTATTTTAGAAAAATCACGAAGAAATGCATCATTTCAAAGAAATTGATTACACATGCACACTTGGGAACATAAAAAAATGTTCAGGTATGAATGAAGTTTATCATTTACAGTAAATATTAACGCGCTATAGTACATACATTATGTATAGGTTTGTGGTAGTGCGGCATGATTTGTAACCGCAATCGGACCATCCGACTACCGGACGAAAATGAATTTATCCATATTTTGTTTGGATTAAGCAAAACGATATATATGTCAACATGCTGCTGAAATAATGCTAAGTTGTGAAAATAAGGAAGAAAAGTGCAATGACTAAAGGGAAGAGACGTTGACTAACGCCTTCCTAGATAATCTTAGTTCTAACTAATTTCAATCGAACAAGGAACCTACTTCCTGCTTCAATTAACTATAAATACGGGTAGATCTTGATCTCCATATTTCATAATTCATTTCAAGTTTTATTTTTATAATTATATTAATATATCAGTCTTGCGAACCTGAAAAAATTTTGCTTAAGTTAAAAGAAAAAATCCAAATGAATAGTGAAATCCTTTATATAGCATCAACAAGGGATAAATCAGTGGGCTTCAAAAAGATCGTGGAAAAACAACCGTTTGAAAAAATATCAAGTTAATAAGGTTTCCATACATATGCTCTATCTAGGTCGATAAAATTCTGCGAACGCAGATACTAACCAGAAAGTCCATCTTTGCAAAAGTAATCGAGAGTAACGTGATTTTAACCATTTAGGGCTTTTTTTTTATTGCTTTAATTGGTGGAAACTGCTTACCTTTCTATGATTTTTTTTTTCAGTTTGGAAATAAAACGAAGTCGGATGGAGCTTATTTGGTAGCCTCTGCAGGAGTCACCTTTGGTCTTATTTCTTTCGCTACTTGAACAATTAATCCATTTGTCGGTTGCTGATTTATTTGAGCCACTGTCACCATAAACATGTTCCAGTGAGTAAAAAATTGGCAGGTCTTCCACCCAAGCTTTACCATGAATTTAATGTTGGACCTGGCCTCGATTTCAGCAGATGCCACGTTGCATGAACGGTCGTTGCTTTTGAAGCAGCGCCCCGCGTTTGTAACATTAATTTAAGGGTTCATGTGTGAACACGTTATAAAAAATTGATACAAGATCGCTCTGCTGCATCGAAGCCATATTATTTTCATAGAATTTTCAGTTATGTACATTTTCAATCAGCTACTTGAAGCCCCCTCGTATTAAAATTCTACGCACAACTTGAGTTTCATTAATAAAAATTAACACAGAGTTCCGAATATGCATAAAATTAGGCTGGAGAAGTTGTCTTCGTTCTTTGAAATTAATATGAAGGTTAATATTAGATTTGCCTGAAATATAACCGAGTTAACAAAATCTCTTTCTGGAATTTTAATACAGTCGGATCTCCGATACATTTTAACACTCCAGATTTCAGAGTATGCAATCTGCTCAATTCACCGAGGAAATGTAAATGAAATATTTTGAATGAAAATCTGAAAAAGAAATCTTAGGTTTAGTTTAAATCAAATCTTTATTAATAATTTAACCGGAGATTTTAAACAAATCGTGAATCCATCGCGATGCAAGCCAATGAAGGCACAAAGATTGAAAGAACGACTTTCTGATAAGACCTAAAATCAATCCATGATCATTACTATAGATACTTGTTAAAATAGAAACGGAGAATAAATGAGAAATGTTTACATAAAATATTTCAAGTCAGATGAAGTTACCTCCATATGATATATAACGATAATAAGAATCATTGCCATTTATGCTTTGGGAATTATCGATACAACGTTAAGAAATAAACGGGATGCGAAAAATACCGAACTCACTGCCGGAATACAAGCTGAGTTAAACTGATTTGAAAATTCCATTGACCGGCAGAAGAAGCTGTTGCGTCCTGCTGTTTCCATCTCCAGCATGTAAATCTCACATCTGCAAACCTAAATCAGATAGGATTACCGTAGGTTAACTTTGATTTTTTGAGCAAAATCAAGGTAACGGTAATTCAAGCATGGTATTAATTTCTTTAACTAATACCTTGATATATTAGGAACTTTACAAAATTTTCTGTTTTCAATGGGGATATTTATATTCATGTTATTTTCTTTATATTCAATTCATCTTAATTAGTGTTTGCCGTAGGTTAGAAATCGAAGGATATGCTAAAAAATACGGGTACAAGGGATATGGTTACAAAAAAATGAAGTGCGTGTGGTGACAATTACTCTGTGTGGGCTAAAAATATGTCTAAACTTCTAAAATTGGTTGTAAACCTTTGAATAGAAACCCAGTGCGATGGTTGAACTACTCAACTAATGAACTACTACCGGTAGTTAAATAGTTCAACCATGCCCAGTGCAACCAAGAAACCTCGATCTGTCTTTCCGTATTTTAGGAACAGGTTGTTGAATATTCAGAATATTGTGTTATTGCGATATTAGGAAGTGCTGCCTTGGACGAGTCTCCAGAGCTCCCTCAGCTCCAAAAGAAGAAGAAGATATTAGGAAGTGAGTTCAACAATGCTCTAAATAATGAAATTTTTATATTGTTGTCAAATGCACGTGTTTAATTGGAAGCAATAATTTTTTTTACAGGTAAAATTGAACTACGGTAGAAAGTCCTCTGAGATTGCTTCAACAACATTCAAATTTCAACATGTCAGCTTCAATAAGAGTATTGGGTCCACTATCTCACTCGTCATTTTCTGCTGCTTTAGATGGCCAAAAAATTCTCCTCTCTGCTGATGGACTGCACAGGTTTGTACATATGCTTGTTCAATTATTTTAGAACAAGGTATAAGACTCTCTGAATCTACATTTTATAGTTTTTTTTGTAGCATCAATCTTGAATTCAGGTAGCCTACCTACAGAACAAGACCAACTGAGTGGCTCTGAGTCTAAGTTTGGCAAATGAGTTGGAAGCTCAAAAATTGCTTTTGATGGCTTACAAAATGGATTCATGGCTCAAAAAATTTGAATTACGGCATAGAGAATTAAAAGTTTATGGCTCCAAAAATTATTTCTGGCTTGGAAGCCTTGGGAAATAGAGATTCATGGCTCAATAAAATTTACTTGCGGCTCAAAAATGTAAAAGTTCATAGCTAGCTCTAAAAATTCAGTTAGCCTATAGCATTAGTTTGGACAGTGGCTTTGGAGAGTAGGTAGATCACTGGCTGGATTTATTCCACATTAGATTCAAATGATGAATCTGCTCAATTTTCTAGAAGAATTTTCTTTCTCTTCTAGTTCAGGCCTCCCACTTCCCAGCCTAGCATTTTTTGTCAAATTCATTGAAGATTGGAAAAATCCAATTTATAGGAAATAGATATTGTATTATTTGTAAGTTTGTGAGACAAACTTCATATAATTTTTTTAAATATATAATCATCTTAATGCTCTACCCCAGGCATGGAATATATCTGCTTGGTGAGCCGCGACTGAATTTTTTGAGCCGTGGTTTTATGGATTTGCCAGCCGTGATTCCATTTCTTCGAGCTGTGATTCTATTTCACCAAGCCGTGAATTCCATATCTTGGCCATGAAAAGCCCTTTACAAGGCACGAATTTATTTACAAAGTCCATGCACGGGTTACCCAAATCTCTAATTTTACCCTAAAACAGTCAAATGGCAATAATAAAATTTGTCTTTACTGTAAGTTGAGCACATGTTAATGCAGTCTGACCACTTTGACATGACCACAACTATGCACGATCTTCAACAAAGCGTTTAGTTGATTTGTTTACATTACGATGTTTATGTTTTTTCTGCAGGATATTTTGGCAGGAACGGTAAAGCAATGCGGATTGCGGAAGTTGAAAATTTTATGAAGTGACATGTTACCGCGATTTTTCAATCAAACAAAAATTTATGACATTTGAGCCGCGAGATTTCATACCTACTGAAATTATATGATATTAGAGCCGCGATATTTCAGACAAAAATAGGACTTTTCCTGCCCTGCTCTACCCTAGATTAGAAAATTCCAACCTTGTAATCAAATTTTAATTGCTCCAAAGTCATATATTTAAAATTGTTTTTTTAATTTAAATTTGCTCAAGTGAGGAAAAAAAATTAAGTACTTTCTTAACTGCAACTAGATTTTTCAAGCTAGGATTTTAAGGAATTTGCAAGCTGCCAAGTTGTTATTGTATTTATTTGCAAGCCATGATTTAATTTCTTTGAACCATAAATACCATATCCAGGGGTCCAAGCTATTTTTGAGCCACAAACTTTATTGTAAAGTTCTGTGCATCTCTGTGCATATGTTGCCCAAAGCCTCAAAATTTCTAATTTAAGCCTAGAAACAATAACAAGAACATTTGTCTTCAGTTTAGAGGCAACTGAACTGTCTGAACAGGTGATAATTTTTAAATAAAAAATGCATTTATAAAAAAAAAAAATAAATATTTTTAAATAAAAAATGCATTTATCCTGCTGTCTGTTGTGACCGTTTGTAACTATGCAATCATCAAAAAAGCCTTTTGGGTTCATTCATTTTATAGGATATTTGGCAGGAGCGTGGTACTGGAGTGTTGACTGTGGTCTGTGGAAGTTAGAAATTTTGTTAAGTGACATATTTGTGAACTGCAATTTCTTCAATCAAACAAAAATACATAACATTGCAGCAGCAAGATTTCATACCCACTAAAATTATGTGATATTAGAGCCCATATGTTTCAGAAAAAATAGGTATTTTCCAACTAAATTTTTTACGCCCTATTATGCACTTTTGATGTCAAATGGCAAAATTAGATAGGAGGTTACTTTTTAGCAGTAATCTTGTAGATCCAAAAATGGTGAGAACTTTAGCTTAAGTTCTGGCTTGAAGAATAGGTATATTCCAGGGCCCAAGCCTGTTAGCATAGTATTAAACACGAGAGTTTTTTCTTGCCCTTCTGTGTAATTAGGATATTTATATTAAACACCAATTTATTAGATAGAAAATTGAACAAAATTTTTTAATGCCATTAATGACACATATATATAGGTAGATTGCCATCTTTGGAAAGCCTACCAGAATATATTCACTATCAATGCACCAAGAAACTGACATGTATAATGATAAACTTGTGTCTTAAAAAATTCAGTTGCTGATTGGAGAGTAGATCTTTTTCCTGATTGTACGATATGCTCATTGGAAAACTGCCTTTTTTGAATGAATTTTATTGGAATATGTCAAGTTATTTTTATTTATATGACACTTGAAATTCACAATCTTGACTAAAAACCTGATATTTTTTATTATTGTTAAAGTTCATTGCTAATCTGCTATTTGATTTACAGAGACTGGAGAGGCTTGGCTGAATATGCTCGCCTTGATGTACCATCGATTGGGGCCTCGTCTCGCATATCCTTCACCTCACACTGTCTCCACTTGTGGGGCCAGGCTGGAGGAACACTGCACAACTTGACATCTGCTCTTGTGGCCATGGATCGGCATGATGTCATACACGACACTATGCATCTAATTGGTAGATTTTCTACTTTTCATATGCTGGAAAATTAAGTAAAATATTTGCTTTTTGAACAAATTAAACTTCTATTGGCATTGAAGGTACCAAGTGGTAGATTGTCATATAACAAATTTATCTAATATGTACGTACCCATATGATAAGATTGTAGGATTAGAATTCCTGCCAAAGAATCTGTAAAAATTAATGGTTTAAAATTTTAGCATTGTTCCTTGCATTCATTTAAATAACATTTTTCCAAAGCAATTGTAATTCATTTCTGTTTTAAAGAAAAATTATCACAAAGTTATTGTTGAAATTCACAATTTCTCTGGATTTGCATCTGAGAAATTTTCTATTTAGATATTAAAATTGCTACCTACCACTAAATTTCATGTAATTATCCACCTTTTACAAATATCATTGTTGACTTCATTTTTTCAGCTAATGACGTCGAACGCATCAATCGAGAGGGATTTCCTGCCTTGCATCCATCATTGCAGCAACAGGAGAGCATCCATTCATTTGTGGATGATAACATCCTCACCGTCCGTGAGTTAGTCTGTCATGCATCCATTCATTTGAGGATGATAACATCCTCACTGTCCGTGAGTTAGTCTCTCATGCATCCATTCATTTGAGGATGATAACATCCTCACCGTCCGTGAGTTAGTCTGTCATGCATCCATTCATTTGAGGATGATAACATCCTCACTGTCCGTGAGTNATGTGTCATGCATCCTTTCATTTGAAGATGATATATCCTCACTGTCTGTGAGATGATGTGTCATGCATCCTTTCATTTGAAGATGACAGCATCCTTACTGTTGTGAGTTTGTTAGCCATGCATCTAATGTTTTCAAGAAGGGTTGCAAGCCCATCCATTGTGTTCCAAGTTGTCATGGTTGAAGTGTGTTTGATCTGTTTGTCAATTTGAGTAAAGTGCATCTTGATACATGATTATATCAATCAAACTAGAAGTATCAATATAAATAAAAAATATCAATAGGCACAAAATATAAGCCCCTGTATCTCATTTTCCATAAATAATCTCTTAAATTTTTACGTTCTTAATTTGTTAGCTGTTTTTATATGCATATTTGATAATGTTTGCTAACAATGCTCAGCTTGTTGGATTTTATGTGTCGAATTTCATTGATTTTTTAACTTGAATCATTTGATTTACTGCTACGTACCTGATTTTGGGGCTGATGACATTTTTGTCCTAGGAAGAGACAATTCCGTTAGTGTTGGATATAAAATAACATCTGAAAACTATTTTGATCATGGAAGAAATTAATGTATAATATGCATTACTTGTGGAAGTTTAAACGTAATGTTGATACCTTCTCGGTTATTTTTGTGATTATTAAATTGGAATTGTGGATAAAAATTAATATAGACTCTGTAAACCTGCACCTCAGATGACCAAGAAAGCCTTGAAAGAGGAGGAGGCCTAATGCACTACGATGCCCTGGTCTTGCATGCAGACGAAGACTTGCCATTTGTCCACACTCTTCTTGAGAAATTAGAAGGGGAGTACGGACTTAGAGTGAGTTATATGACAGGTGATGTATAATAGTTGTGGGTCTTAATTGAAGTGAGTCTTGTGTGATAAGGGACATGCTTTTATCTTCTTCAGCTACATTTAGCTAGTAGTTTGCGTAGATGCGTGACCTAAATGTAGGAGCAAAATTACAGCAGCAAAAGATTGGACTAATCCATTCACCATCTATATCCGTTGATAAATGTTCCCATTCAATACACAAAGAAACTTAAATTTTTTATTATATGTCTGGGTAAGGAATAATGAATTGTTCATGTTTTCAAACTAGTTTTAAATTATACTTGCACGTTTTTAATATTCACGAGCTCGCGTTTGGATAAGTATTCTCTGGTTTATAGAATATCTATGTATACTTTTTAATAACACGTCAATAGTATTACAAATTTTCAATTTCAATTGAAATTGACCGGCAGTGTGTGCAACCTAGCTAAATTTTTTTATATATTTTCTCAGCTGTGTGTGAAGGACCGCGACCTGATAGGAGGCCTGCAGTTTGAGAGCTCGAGTGTGGTGCGTCTGATCACCGAACGCTGCTCCCGCGTCGTGGTTATCTTCAGTAACAAATTCCTTGCCTCGCCACAGAACCAATACTTCCTGCACTTCGCACACGCTCTTAGCTTAGGTGAGATGCTCTTATCTTCAGTAACAACTTCCTTGCGTCGCCACAGAACCAATACTTCCTACACTTCGCAATCTTAATACACTTCATGCACCCTTAGCCTTGGTGAGGTTCTCCTAATATTTATGTTGGTGAGGGAAAGTTGTGATTTATGGGTTTTATAAATGCCTTGAAAATTTATGAGGTTCTCATGATTAATCTTTTGGTAGGACATGACGAAAAGACAATCTTAAGGCAGACAAAACGTTAATGTCAACTTTTCTGACTCAGTTGTGTAGAGATACTATTCTACTTCCGTTATTAAGTGTCACCGCCAGTAGTGAGGTGTTTTCATTTAACAATTTGGTCGATTCGTCAAAAATGTACACATTTGTTCACAGGAGTTTAATGGATTTTGTTCATTTTAGAAGCCGCATTTGCCATTCTTTAGGATGAGGTCGTTTGATTCTTCATGTCAAATGATAAAAATATTGCAGTCGAATTATTTGATCTAATTTGATTCGTTTTATTTCTTACTGCTTACTAAGAGAAGTTTTGGTGAGTATTTCTAATTATTCCCGATAGATCGGGTAACAAACCATTAGGCTTTAACTAGGTGATAAGAAGTACAATCTCTTGCCGTGTTATATCATAAATTCTTCTCAGCATAGGATGCCTTTGTTGTGATTTATTTCATCGCTAAGGAAGGCCAGTTCTTCTTTGTCATGTAAATTAGGCCAAACTGAGCAGTGATTTTTACAGCCGACAATTTAACAAAAAATTTTTCCTAATTTAGCTGAAGTGATGGTTTTTGATGTCAGTGTTATGGAAAGCCACCGAGCCTTCTCATACTCTGACTTTTTGAGGTACATATGTTCTATATATAATAAATATTTTTTTACCTTGAACTCCAGAAAAAAAAATTGAAGATCGCACGCAGTAGGCTTGAATTCAATGTCTTTCTCAAACTTTATTATCAAATAATGAACTTTAATTGAAGAAAGGAAAGGCCTTTCTCATATTTCATTATTAAATATGAGAGAGAGAGAGAGGCTTTGCTCCAGCCAATGTAAATTTCATGATTGAATAATTGGCTGAATTGAATATCTTTTTTTGAAATGTGCCTAATTTTTAAAAGGTTCCAAGGTTTTCTGGGATATATTAAATTACACTCGACTAATAATATAATACTAATAATCGTATACAAAATGATCCCTTAATTAGAACCGAAGTGACAATGAAGGGAAACCTCATAAAATAATTTTATAGACAATTCGTAAAATACACTAACTATAAATAAAATGTTTTCAGACCAACGCAAGCGCATCTTGATCCCATGCATGCTGGAGCCGTGCGAGCGGCCGGCCGTGATAAGGTTCTGCCACAGCCTCGACTACTTCCGCGCCCACGGATACTGGGACTACTGGAAGAAGCTGCGAGACTCAATAGTGCACAAGTTAGAATACTTGATAAACTTAGTGCTGAGATTTCAATTTAAAATTAAAGCTTAAAAATTCTACATTAAAGCTTAAAAATTCTATATTAAAATAAATTCAGTCCATGGTTCTTTATTTTAAATAAACATTTCATGAGTTAGAATACTTGATAAACTTAGCACTCAGTTTTGCATTTGAAATGGAGCTTCAAAATTCCATAGCACACTAATTAGAATACTTGATAAACTTAGTGCTGAGTTTTCAATTTGAAATGAAGCTTTAAAATTCCATAGAACACAAGTTAGAATAATTGATAAATTTAGCGCTGAGTTTTTGATTTGATATGGAGCTTTAAAATTCTATATTAAAATAAATTCAGTCGATGATTTTTTATTTTAAATAAACATTTCACAAGTTAGAATACTTGACAAACTTGGCGCTGATTTTTTGATTTGAAATGGAGCTTTAAAATTCCATAGCATACAAGTTAGAATACTTGATAAACTTAGTGCTGAGTTTTTAAATTGAAAAATAGCTTTAAAATTCCATAGCACACAAGTTATAATACTTGATAAATTTAGTGCTGTGTTTTCAATTTGAAATGAAGCTTTAAAATTCCGTATTAAAATTAGTTAATTAGATGGTTTTTGATTTTAAATAAATATTTCATAAGTTAGAATACTTGATAAACTTAGCGCTGAGTTTTCAATTTGAAATGAAGCTTTAAAATTCCGTAGTAAAATTAATTCATTTAATGGCTTTTGACTTTAAATATACATTTCTCAGCAATTATTCTGTTGTTGGGGACTAATCCCCAACACCAAACTGATCTGATTAAATGTAATGCCTTTGGAGTCACTTTTTTCATGCTGATTTGGTTTTCTTTAGTTTCTGCATAGTATACTTCAGTGAAGTATATGCAATTTTATACATGATAGAAGTCTCCCAGGCCCATCCTAATGAATACAACGCACACTTTGTTATATTCTGTTCTACTTGGATATGTTCTTGGATCAAGTTGAATGTGATTTTCATTTAGACTACCTTCACTCAAAGCATAGTGTTTAAATTGCTTGTTAGACTGGATCATTTCTTTTATTTAAAACTCATAGTTAATATTGATGAAGTTCATGCTAATCCCTACAGGCATTAGAATCTATTTGTTGTCAAAAAATTCCATGTTCTTTTTAGAATATTACACAAAAAATTAAATACTGAAATACTCGTGTACTTTACAGACCAGCACGCTCCATAGATGCGCCCATGGCCAGGATCACGGAGCTGCCTGCAGATGATTTTCCTTCTCGTCTGCATAGTTCTGTTCCTCAGCCTCACGTTCTCGCGCTGCCTCCTTCTGCAGGTGAGTTTAACCCATAGTTGAACTAGTATAAGGTTGACCCATGAGATGCTCATTTTCGCGGATGTAGCCTGTTCGTCTGTGACGTCACTAATCTCAGTGACATCACAAGCATTAATCAATCACCGAAATGCGATCAAGCCAGTCAACCAATCGTTATGGGAATGACGGGATTGTTTACGTTCCTCGATCTCAGTGACGTAACAAGAAAGCTGAACTGAAAGACGGATGTCCTCGTGGATCAACCTTGTATAGTTCAACCATGAGTTAAATCTCCTGTAGTCTTCGTGTCAAATGAACCGCTTTTCCGACGCTATGCCTAGAAAGTAAAAGGCAAATACCGGAAACGAAGACAACTGGAGGGTTAATATAGAAGTGAGACTTGAGGATCTGTCCTAGGTTCAAGTGAAAATATAATGAGTGATTTTAATTATCAGTTTCTTAATTAATTTCCATTTTATTTTTGCTTACGTAGTTCACAACAAGAGGATGCATTTTAGAATTAGAGTTGAGAGCAACTGGGTAAAATTAGAGTATTTACTATAAAATCGGAGTACGTATTTGCTGTAAAATTGGAGTATTTACCGTGACATTGGAGTATTGACTAAAATTTGAGTATTGACTGTAAAATTAGAGTATTTACTGTATAATTGGAGTATCTATGGTTACTTATTTATTCATTCAACACCTCAAAAGAGACTAGTTGCTTATCATTTTTTGGTAAGAAACGTACCGTATGGATCGTTTGACGTCAAGTGGATCAATCTCAGACATTGCCGCTTTGTCCATTTTTGATTTTCGTGAAATGTTGACTGTTGCTCCAATTGCTCCAATATATTTCGAACTAGATTTTCTTATCAGCCGCAGGTGCATTATGTGTAGTGGCATATGCCATATTGTGGATGTAATATAATTGCGATGATCCTTAATGGAAATGTCCTCTCACGGAGGCTTCTGCGCCTCTTTTTTGTTAGAAGTACGGGTTTCGTTTTCCGTTTCATTGTTCTTGAGCCGCCCAACACAGAGCTAGAGATGTGTGACTGCAGGTTTCAGTTTTGGGGTTGGTTGGTAGTATTGTACTTCTTTCTTGTATATTTTGTGTAAACGGCTGACGTTTCGTGTAAACATCATCTGATATGAGAGTCACCTGGTGCTTTGCTGCATCACTTCGTATTTAGTCTCGCCGAAATGCTGCAGCAGCTCTTTATTCACTAGCTTTAGCGCTCTGACAAATTGTACGCTCATTTTATTTTTATATGGAAGCCAGAACTGATGAATAACGATGCTACTTCCTTCTAACTAGAATTTCAAAACATCAAATATAATGAGTTTACCTGATCAGCCGTTTAAATTTTTGTTTCGTTTATCTACCGCCGTGCCTCATTGTTGAATTATCTCCAATTATCTCTAACACTTTGAAAGTTTTCCAATCATTGGAATGGTTTGTGTGATCTCCCAAGGATAATTTGTATCTATTTCGTGTATAAATTATCGTTTTCTCCATCAATTATAAGCAAAATTGAATACCTTGAAATTTCAGATAATCAAGCTGCTAGTTTAGAGATCAACGGGCAACCGCGAACCAGCGACAAAAATCCAGCTACTCACGACAAGCCTCAGAAGAACGCAGTCCGGATGCTCCACCAGGGCCTCCTGAAGTGGAGGAGACGAGACAGGAAGCCGTCCAGTGAAGATGAGGTGCGATTTGGGTCCAATTTCGGAACAACAAATGCCATCATAAGTGTATTGTTGGAACTCTATCCCCGAAATGAAAATAATTTGTGTTCAGATAGAACTTCAAGATAGCAAACTTATGATCATTTAATGTGTATTTTAATTTGAATTGTAGAAAGAAGTGTGTATGATTAATAGATTCATCACTCGTGTGGGAATTGAATCAGTGCCTGCAAGCGTGGATACAAAGGTTGATGTTTTATTTGCTTAATTTTCCTGCTACCATCACCGAGGTAAAACCCACTCATTGGTTAGGCATTATGGTAGTTCCTATTTGCTAGATTTTTTTAAAATAGGTCATGCTGTGCCACGTATATTTGTTGAATTCTAATGGTGTCTGATTTATGCAGGTTCCATATACGACCGTATCCAGTCCTGTTACATCTAAATCTGCCATGGAAGATTTGTTGGACGAGTCCCTGAAACATCCAAACGGGTTATGTAAAAATAACAATGGACCCATCGCCTCCTCCAGCACCATCACCGATGTGTCATTCATCTCCATAGATTCTCATGAGGAATCAAACGAAGTAGAAAAGTTTAGTACTAAACACACACATGATGATAAAGGTGGTGATAATATAATCGTGTTCGATTCTCCCTTGAATTCTGCTACACAGACTTGCTTGTCCAATTCAGCGAGAAATCTACCCGATATGTCAGTGAGCGCAACAAATTCGTCAAGTAATCATCCAAATGTGTCCACGAATTCGGCGCACACTTCGTCTTCTCTGCAACGACTTCTTCCTGATGTTCCATCCAACTATGTTCCTTCGCAGGAAATTTCTCCTGTTTCTACCGACATTAGGAAGAAGAAGTCTAAGGGCAATCTTGTTTCAAAAATTTTCCGGAATGCCAAAAAGAGAGTGAAGGTTTCTTCTTGAAATGCTTCGTTTGATTAGTTTATGTACGATGGGGGATGATGATATTAGTATTTTGAACTTTTTCTTTAGAGGGACTTCATAGATTTATTTGTCAGGTATCCCAGCCGTAGTGGCTGTAATGTCACATAAAGTTCTCGATCCGGCAATAACAAAGCTAACGAGGATGAAGAATAACAACACAATGAATGTTTAACACGATCTTTATTAGAAAAATCCGACACAGACCTAAGCACAGAAATTGAACGGAGTTATCGTCTATAGTACGTTATAACACTGAAATAAATCAGACAGACTGGTCACTCTCTGGTAAAATACGCTCTTTTCCAAAAATAATAGAACTACCTAACTTAAATTTCCCCAGACTGGTACATCACCGGGTTTAGGACGGAGACCCCGGACACAGGGCTGGTTGACTTCTCTACAACTTGTTCCGCCGTAGTTATTGTTAATTGACGGCCTCGCAGGATCTTCGTGACTCCGTGGCTTAGAGTCCCCTTTTACTATGGCGAGTGTTGATGGAAGATTTACTGAAGGGTGTCGTGTCGTCATCGATTCTAACGCATCCGCTGTTGTATTCTCCGCAGTCTTCGCTCCAGCGCATATTGGTGTTCGCGGGTATCTTCAGAATCCTGTCCTCGGTCATGCGCTGCTGGTCAACAATCTTTCTTACAACGGCGAGAGCTGACAGAAGATTCTCCGCAGAATGTCGTGTCGTCATTCACTTTCATTATGTTTTCTCTTTGGCAGTTACGTCTCGCACATCAACACTACACTGACCACCAACTTGGTCACGACGTCCAAGTACAGACGACTACCTATGCCACGGCCGTTTAATTGGCTTGTTTGCTCGCTCGCTCAAGACCCACTGCCTGGCTCTAACAGCCTTATGACGCACGTCCAGATACTTAAATACCCTCAATCCGCAATGTATCGTCGCTTTGATTCCACCCTAAACAATAACAGAGTTTTCCCCATGAATAGGAACAACTGCTTCGCCCTCTATCTTGCTATTCGCATTCTCCCCCAAATCACACCCTAATAAACATTCGTAATTCCTACTTTATCGCGTTCCAAAACTTAAGATGATCAGTTTTTAAAATTTGATTCACACATCTTCGTTTGTATATTTTCTTTGAATTTACGAATTTTCTGACTCTTACTAGATAAGATATATTATGATAATTTGCTGGCATTGCTAACGTATAGGATTTGATTAATTATTTTTGGGGCAATGTTTATGTGATAACTGAAGACATAAATCACCAACTAGTCGCTTGCAGGTGACTCCTGTAAACATTATCTTAGATATGAATATATATTTCACTGATATATAATGAACTATTGAGATTAATTTTTTAGTGTCTTGAATCTAGTTTAGTGGGGTACGTGTTTAAAGCATAATTGACTGTAAAGTTCGTAAATTATATTAGATGTATAATCTATATTTCTGGACGCTTGCTTAAAGGCGTCCCTAGATTAACAGCACCTATTACTGCTCACAAAACACGCCAAGAATTCATATTTAACTGCGAAAAATGTTGACCGTTATTATCACTGTTGCATGTTCTCTAGAGAAGCCAATCTTTCTTAAGGGTACTTTCTTGAGCAGGATATAAAATATTAAATGAGGGCCTTTGAGGAGCCATTTATCAGAAGAATTTGTTAATTTAATTATGCGCTGCTCCTGACAGTTTAGTGTTCATATCAAAACTATTCGGTTTTAATATTTTAATGAAGGAATTCAACAATAATTATGTTTTATCCTAATGTTAAAAAGTTTAGTAAATACTACTACTTTTTGCGATATTTTGGCCCGAATAATCTGAATAAATAAATGTTTATTGAAATTTCTATACTCAACAATTATCACAATTGTTGCAAATCCAAGTTTGAAACTTTTGACTCGACGATCTCTAAAATATCGAAAAATTGGATCGAAGTTAATTAATGGAAATTGATACTGGGATGTCTTCTTTGATTGGTATGACTATAGCGTGCAGCTCTCCTGTCATTATTTTTCTATGTATTCACTGAGCAAACAAGTAACGTTCATTGCTCGCTAATTCATTTTCTGTTTACATTACCATGCAAGCCACCTGTGTACTTATTCGTATTGTTCGTTAGGCTCAGCGGACCCATGGTTGAACTAGTATAAGGTTGACCCATCAGAAGCTCATTTTTGCGGATGTAGTTCGTTGTTCGCCTGTGACCTCGCTGATCTCAGTGACGTCACAGGCATTAACCATTCCCCGAAATGTGATCAAACCAGTCAACCAATCCGTCATGGGAATGACGGGTTTGATTACGTTTCTTGATCTCAGTGACGTAACAAGAAAGCTGAACTGAAAGACGGAACTTCTCGTGGGTCAACCTTATAAGATGCTTGTCAACCTTTGAGATGCTAACGCTGCTTCTTTCGAGCCAGCTCCAGCGGGCTGGACAGTTGAGACCTTCCGCCGCTTGTGGGTGATGATTAATTTGAGATATTAAATAACTGAGACCTTCCGCCTCGCTGGCGATGCTACATTTTGACCTCCGGTGCCAAATAGCTTGATAGCTGAAGCGCTAGCAAACTATTATACTACTACTACTATATAGTTCAACCATGCCGTGGACCTCTTCACTTGTTCCTTGTCAAGCCGGTTTTTCGCAACCTGTTGTTTCGGTTGAGCGAATCTGATATTGACTAATATAATTAAGTTTAACCTAACCATGTGGAAGGTTATGTATTCGCGGAGGTGATTAGAATTCAGTATTCAAGTTTTTATACATTAGGCTCTAACTTTCTGCATTTTCATATATATTTTTGTATCTTATATGTGGGTCCTGACTCTTTTTGTAGTGTTTTGTCTTCAAAGCTATACTTTACCTAATTTCAATGAAAACTTTTGCTGCTCACCTTTTCTCATTTGACGAACCTGGCGATCTACCTCCCCTGAAATCCTATTTCTATAACATCACGTGACGTGATTAAACCAAATCGCTTAGACGAGTGCAAATATTCAGTTTTCAACTATCACTTCCATCAGTTTGGCTGCTATTGCAACTATGTATTTCGCTCTTCTGTAACAGTACATTTGTTGTTTTCCAACCAGTCCGGATTCATAGAAATAAAATAAAAGAGTTTACCCTGAGACTAGAAACTGCATTAATAACTTTCTGAAGTTGTTACTTAGTTATTTTTTCAAATTATGGGACGAGATAAATGCCCTGTATTTATCCCGTTCAAACTATTTTTTTATTGCAACTATTAAAACTACTTATTTAGAAATATCTTGTTAAATTCCTGAAAAAATTGCGATATTTGTGTTTCAGGTGTTCTGCACCTGAAATTGAAAACGTTCAAGTGCACGTTGTTGATTTGAAGTTTATTGGGATTATTTCAAGTAAAGCTTACTGTAATGTGCATGAATTTATGATGTAAAAAATGCGTAGTCTTTTACTACTAATCGTGTTAGGTTCCCCGGCGGGTTGCCTGCATGTATGTCTCACCTCGTAACTCTCCCGTAATGTTGCTGCTGAGATTATTATTATTTTAATTCGAGAGCCAAATAAATTTTTGTGGAAATGTTCACTCTTTCTTGAAAGTTCTTGGGTTTGGGTGAACTAATGAAATTTTTGAAATGATATTTTCTTTTAGCAGAGTAGGATAATTTAAAATCAAGGTCAGCATGCCGGAAATTTTTATTCATTATATTTCGTGCCATTAATCTCTTTGATTTGCTATAATTAAATTTGTGCTGCTAAAAATTTTTAGTATAAAAATTATGAAATTTCACAGCTCTGGAAATGAATTAAAATTGAAATAGTCTAGACCCTATAAAACTTTTTCGGAGCAACGTTTCGGGCGGTAATTTACCAGAATTTAGTGTGATAAATATTTTTGTTTTTGTCATTTAGGGCCGGAAAGGAAAGGCTTTGCAGATCGCTCGTTAATTAATGACCTGTGCTGCAGCTTGTTTTTCTCTGCGATGAAAAAGTTATATTTGACTTTTTGTCTTTCATCAGGTTCTAGTTGTAGTCTGCTAAAAACATTGCTTATTGTTGAGGAATAACTTGACTGAAGCACAAATGAGATAAAATTGAAAATAAAACACATGATCTAGAGTTTATTTTTTCTTTTATCACGTAAACAGCTGTCCAGCGTAACATAAGCTATATTTATTGCGCAGAAATCCAGCTTTATTCACCAAAGAAAGGAATGCTTTCTTGCATTGGAGATAATTACAAATATTACGAATTTTTACCCAAATTCAATACCATAGCCATCCAAGCTGGCATTAAAGCTTTGAATTGACAACAAAATAATACTAAAGTTGACGCGCAGAAACGCTAAAAAAACGGCCATCACACGAGAGCGGAAGATGTCGCGATATCAGTAGCCTTCAATGCTTTGCTCGAGAATACAGATTCATTAAGAAAATATCTCAGATTGAAGTAGTGTTCAGTATGAGTTCAAGTAATTTCGATAATATACATAGACTAATGATCTTTGCTTAGATTACGTACACGTAATTGAAGATGATACTTTGAACAATTGATACGCGCGAAATTAAAGCAGCACTAAGGATTTGTAAGTTTGTTAGCCTGTATTTAGTGAAAAACACTCTTCAAGAGCAGAATTTTTCCTAGGCGCAGTCGAGGTCAAGCATATATGAGACGCATCTAGCATATATGAGAATAATAAAATATTCACCATTAAACGTCACGAAGGAAGTAAATTTTTTCGATTTTAGAGAAGCAGTTGGCATTGAGTCAAGATAAATTACAATTTTTATGCAGAGATTCTTGGATGTTTATCGGGAGACACTGCAGACCATATTTTCTCAGTGAAAACCTAATTTTGAAAGTGTGCAGATCACTAGAAAATTTTTCATTCACAGCTAGTCAATGTTTTCTTTGCTGCATAATTGTACGCAAATAAAAACCCAATAGGTGTTACTGGAACTGCTCTAGATATTGCACCAAAGTTTGCATATATACATTGAGAGCCTTGCGCTTAGTTAAACTACATATTAATTATAAGCTTCCATATTTTGGCTCTAGGTATACACCTTTTGATAAAAGATGAAAAGCTATGAAATAATGTATTATATGCAAGTACTGCCAATTACGTGGAAGATATTCATTCTATTTAATATAGAGAAGGAAAAAGAGAGATGTAGGTTACACTTTTTTATATCCGCCCTGAAATAGTAAGTGAAATGTTAGAACTAAACCCCGTAGACTTTCAAATCGCATACAGCTTGAAATGAAGAAATAAAGTAATCAGGGGCCATACTTTCAAAACTCGCTAAGTGAACGTAAGTACTTACGCTCTATTTTCTTGTCTATGATTGGTGGATTTTGCTCGAAAGGCCGTCAATGATTGGCTGATGAACTTACGATCTCTTAACTTTTTTTGAAAGTATGACCCCCAGATTTGGAGAGAGGTCAGGGTCAAAAATCGATTTCATGAACTCCCTTAGAAAATATGGATAAGGAAGGAACACAAACAATGAAATAGGATGAATCGTACTAACATATTTATGAACTGAATGCAATAATTAATTAAATGGTCCTGAATGCATGTGCCGGTCCAATTGCACGGTAATTTGCAACTATCGTCATTAAAAAAAATACTCGTCTAGAACCAATGCTCGAAATTCCTACAGGAATACACAAAAAAGGTATTTTCCTTTCTGTCATAGAAGAGGCTGCGTTAGTGAACCAGAAGCTAGTGCAATCAATTCCTTAATTTAACTTGTTTTGTTAGTAGAAATAGAACCGAATTATTGACACCTAATGAACTACAACTAAATTATTGAGTTCTGATCATGGAAGACAAACTGGAATACGAAACTAATATTTTGTAAACATTCACAAAGTATTTAATTTTTTTGAAGTAATACTCTCTCGTTAACAACTATAAATGCAGTATAAATTTATCTAAGTATTTTTGTAAGCAAAATCGAATTAACCAAATTCAGTCTACTTAATGAGAGGAAAATTTGTCTGCGTGAGATACTTGCATGTAACTTGAAAGAAACCTGCAATTAGGTTTGTATGTGTAAATTGTGAATTGATGAGGTGATGGAAAATCTTCACAAATCTAATAGGATACTAGAGCGTGTAAAGAGTCTCAGAACTAGGTTGCTGCTCAATTAATTTTTGGGAAAATTTTGGAATGGTTTGAACCTAAAAATTAAACTAATACATATTTCCAATGCAATATCGGAAGCTACATCTGTTCATGATTGCCTGTTTTCCAAAACGAATTTCATACATCTACTTTATATGGCGACGAAATTCTACAAAAAATATTGAATTTCATCGCAGAATTATTTGGGTTACGGATGAACAAAAGGTAAACGCGGTGATGAGCTCCAGCTAAAAATAACATAAAAATAATATTTATTTCTAGAAGTTGTACAATAATACTTACTTAGGCGCATTAACCTACATTCAATAGGCGTATATTAGGCGTTTTTTGTAGACGTGCCGGACTTGTGAAAGGCATCACAGGTGCACGAAAGCGTTACGTATATGAGTTATATATGAGCTGAATCTTATACATAAGATTCAGCAAAAAATAAACGAACCAAATGCACCGAACCTCCATACGATATATCATAGTATGTAAATAAAATCGCTCGCGGCTGTGGCATCAATTTTGTGCAATACTGGCTCTAAAATTGGCTTCAAGTAGAAAGCAAGCGCGTCCCGTCCGTTTCATCTAATGCTTATGCTATCCATTAAATGATTCACCATCCTGAATTAACAAGTAGAAGATTTGATGAGGAATGTTATCAACAATCATGAATCGCATTCAAAATGGAATTGATTATCTCGAACTATGCTTACTCTAGCACAGGTTCTGACGATAGTTCAACTGAAACGAATTAGCAATGAACTGCTGAAATGAGCAATGAATGTTTAGTGATGAATGAGGAAAGGCTTCAATCCTACAATTAAAGAGAATGAATTGAAAAAAAAATGCTGTGCCGTTCCTCAATATATAACAAACAAGTGAAAACATTGCTTTTACAAGGTTTTGTCTAATCTTTACTACAAGTGTATAAATAATAGTTTCGTGAATTTACTTATAGATAAATAGGAACAAAGATTATTTGAACGACTCTATAGCAAGAAGAACCTGACTCTAGTCGGATTCATTCAACCAAAAATTTGCAATATTATTGACCCAAGATACTCTTAGAAAGGCGATTCTATTTTCCCTGTATTGACGAACGTTAAAAAGTTTCAGCCTAGTTAGATTCATTGAACCAAAATTCTGCAATGTTATTGATACGAGATAGTATAAGGCTTATAAAATTGGTATAAATGATGGATGATGAAGAGTATATGTGTAGCGTTTTAGATTGTTTCAAAGCAAGTAATTAATAACCGCATCAACAAAGTAACAAAGAAAATAACTTACACGACAAAAAATTTACCCTAAATTTTCGATACAGCAAAATATTCAATCCATATGAAGCAATTATTTAAGTTCAGCAAATAATAAACAAATAATTGAGTTTGACATGCAACCGGCAATCACTTCCAGGCAATAATCAAGGGTACTGTTCAGCTTGGAAAATATAATTGAAAATTTTAATTTAATTAAACTTTTTATATATGATTAATTTTTTAAAATTTGATTAATTTTTAAAATTTGATCTAATTTTAAAAAATTGATTACATTTGAAAAATTTAATTTGATCTGCCTAATTTTTTAAAGCTCAACATGGATTTTTTATTATTACGCAATACACATATATTAAAATAGTACCCAAATTTATTGCAGTCTATTTTCAGTTTGAAAATTCTGAAAATCTTCTCTTTAAAATACACAAGACGATTTTGTTTTTTAGATTCTTTTCCAGAACATCGTTTCCTTAAAGAAGATTCTGCTGAGCCCAAATGACTCAATTAACATCAAACTGCCATACTTCAGTTCCTCATCTACCTAATTTACAGCCAATTTGAGAACATCAATCCGATAATGGGCCCCTGTATTTTGTCACTTCGTAATTTATTTATTATATCAACTATATTGCTTTATCCAGTGCTTTCTCTGAATATTTAATTCCATTACCAATTATGAGATACCAATTTCAACATTGAGAGAAAACCCAAACAGCAAAAAGTATTAGTCTTGATCAGACCGTTACGACAAATATGTACGTCTTCGGGCCCCAATCTTAAAAGCTTGCCCAATAAGTCGCTGCATCTTTATTTAAATGCATCCAAAAGTTATACTATAAGCAATATTTAAAGCTGTGGTTTTGTACAATGTCAGATTTAATTTTATTTGGAGGAGATGTGCAAAGTTGGAAATTATCATCTATGCAAAAACAGTGCCATGTTCTTTCTTTTAAACATAGTTAATCAAAGAATATGTTGAATTACGTTCAAAGTTTCAAAGAATATGTTGAATTAAGTTGACAGGCTTGTGATTTAGTCCGACGTTCCTGCGTAGATTCGCCAGTGTCCTAGCTGTTGAACTTCTATTGAATAAATTTTCCCAAATTATTTCACAGTATTTAACAGAACATAAACATAGTTTTAAACAATGCTAGTTTTATTTTTCTACGTTATTCAATTCAATACGTTTTAAAGTGGGCCTCATCAAGTGTTTTAAACTCTATTTAAATAAAATTCTCCAGCTTTTTACATATTAAATAACATATTAACAAAGTTCTGTACACATTTTATTTTTTACTGAAATTTATAAGCTGATCGGGAGGCCGGTTTTTGAGTAGCCCCATCTGTGTCATGGTCTTAATGAAGACTGTGTGGTCGCTCAGCAACGTCGCCGTGTGTACGTCCTTCTTGAGCTCCTCCATGTCGCGCTTTAATTTCGCGCGTCTGTTCTGGAACCACGTGATTACCTGCAAGTTATACAAATGTGTTGATATACAATAATAATATTTAGATATATGGCGTGTTGGTTTTGGAACCACGTGATTACCACCTGCAAGTTATACAAATGTGTTGATATACAACAATAATATTTCTATACATGGCGCGTTGGTTCTGGAACCACGTGATTACCAGCAAGTTATACAAATGTGTTGATATACAACAATAATATTTCTATACATGACGCGTTAGTTCTGGAACCACGTGATTACCGGCAAGTTATACAAATGTGTTGATATACAACAATAATATTTATATACATGGCCCGTTGGTTCTGGAACCACGTGATTAACTGTAAGTTATACAAATGTGTTGATATATAATAATAATATTTCTATGCATGGCGCGTTAGTTTTGGAACTACGTGATTACCTGTATAGGCAATATGAATGTATAGATATAGAACAAAATAAATGAGGAGATATAGAATAATACAAAATTTTTACAATCTTTAAAATTTGTTAGCAATTTTTGAACACACACGCAGCCTGTACCGTCAAAAGTCTAAAATTATCCCGCAATAAAACATAATATGAATGATGTTCTAACCTGAGCGTTACTGAGCCCGAGCGTCTGAGAGAGTTCGTCTCGATCAGCCGGAGATAAATATTTCTGGTAGAGGAAACGTTTCTCTAGCTCGAACAACTGGTGGTTGTTGAAGGCGGTTCTGCTCTTACGCTTCTTTTTCGGTGGCTGCTTGCTGCTGAACAGGTTCAGATGACTCGCTGAACCGTCTGAAATGTAAAATAGATTTAATGTAAAATTTTTTGGTGGCTGCTTGCTGCTGAAGAAGTTCCGGTGACTCGCTGAACCGTCTGAAATGTAGAATAAATTTATTAATTTGTGTGAAATTAACATGAATTCAAGTGAAATATTTTATTATGGTTGAAAAGATTTGGTGCATCAAGTTCTTTATGATATTGTTGTAATGAGAGAGGAATTAATTTATTGTAAGAGCTGAAATGAATGGAATTATGATGAATTAACTGATTTTATTACGATAAATTTATTATTTATCTAACTAGTATCGTTTTTTCCAAATTGGCAAAGTGGTATTCCTAAATGTACAATAGAATCTCGTACATAACATATATTGCATAAAGTCAGACACCCCATAAAATAAGAAACGGATGTCGAGATACACTACACGGACGCGTGGCTCCAAAGCCAGTCCAAAAATACGACCGGGGACCGGCCGCTGGTGGACCATCTTCATCATTTGGTGTCGTGGAGGAGGCTGCGTCAGGCGCTGAAAGATTTAACATAGCAAAGCTGCCACGCGAGTGTCATTTGTCCGTCGCCGCTGCGCAGTGTTCGGCTAGCGCGGCATGCGCGCCGTAATTCAAGCTACGTGAGAAAAGTTTAGTGGTCGCTCTGCGTCAGCAAAGTTCGCGGTGAAATTTTTCAAATTTTTGAGATAATTTGATGTAGGGATTGTTAAAATTTAAATACTGTTTGGCTGGAAGATATCAATATTTGTCAATTATACGCTATTAAAATAAAGTAAACGTTCCTAATTGTAACGCTTGATGAGAAGAAGATAATTAAAAAACACCTAAGTACAGAATAAAATTAAAATAAGATTACGTTTATATAAGATTGTTGGACCACTTTTTGTTCATTATTTAATCTGCCCATGATCGCTCTGTTCATAATCGAATGAAAAAAATCAATAACATGGTGACTTCAATTTAATCGCCTGTCATAGATATTCAACAAGAAACAATTTTATGATTCGAATACTCAAAATACGTTTCTAGCAGAAAATGTGATAACAGAGCGACGTGTTCTCAACAGAACAAAAGCTGGTGCACACATCGGTCGGGCAGTCGGAGATACCAGCGCCGGCTTGTCCATTTCATGCGGTGCTACGCAGACAACGAAGGCTCTGTCCTGTCAGTCTCGCCCGGCACCCGACAACGCGAGCTCACGCGGCGAACGAAAATGGACTCCAAACGCTTCGTGATACCGAACAGTTATTTACATCTTTCCGACGAATTATTGATACTGACGAATTATTGATACCGACGAATTATTGATTCCGACGAATTATTGATACCGGCGAATTATTGATACCGACAAATTATTAACGCCATTATTAGTGTTTTTGGTTTGGAATAAATATTTGAATAGGAAAATGATCTTGGAATGTTAGAAAATTGTTATACTCAGGATACTCTGAATGCTTAGGATAATGCAGCTTTCAAAATAGTAGTTTACGAAAATAAGATTTATGATTTTATATGGAGCTCAATTGCACACCAACGATGATGAAATCATAGATAGAAACATATCGATACATTTCGATTCAGAAATAATATCGATTTCAATTGAAAATAAGTACGCTTTACAGTTTATTGCCTGGTGGCAGATAAAACCGAGGCAGATTTTTACGAGCTATCAAAAGTGTGTTAGAGCAACCGATCACATTGTCATGAATGTCTGAGTATAACTCAAAATATGACCAAACTTTTGGTGAGAAAGTTGAGCAGCCTTTTACTAGGTATAGTATTTTGATCAGTAATACCGCATTGACTTCTCAATCAACCAGTGAAACATCAAATTGCAACTATTTACAGACCTTAGACCATGTATACGATGAACTGACTCCTCATGGGACAATGAAACTCATTTTTGGGTTTCTTAATTTGGATATAAATCAATAAATTTTCATTACAACGAATAATATTGCTTGTCAATATTAATATTTTGTTCGTTTACTGTTCACCCGTAATAATGTATTTCGGTGACTTTCATGTTGAACTTACAATTACTTCCTCTATTGCGAGTAAGATCGCAATTAATACATTATCTTACAACCGACATTTAAAAAATAATTAAATGAATCAATATCAAAGTTTTTACGAGCATGATGTTCAGGAATATATGTACACGTGTTGTATTTGCATGATAATACGAATGAAACTTGGTCGTGAAAATCGATTTTTTGAAAAACGATCTGCACCACAAATATATGATTGAAGAATACCGATGACACGACTGCTGAGTAAAATAAATAGAAGCGAAAGTAAAATTACGATATCGTGTATTTATTTAGAGTTCGTTCAGCATCTCGACAAGATAAGTCATCATCCCACGACGTCTAGTGAGCTATGTGTTAAATGTTTGGTAACAGGGACACTTTTCGGGTCGGGAAATCAATTGCATTGATGTTTATGCACTATCGCCGACATTGAAAGGTATTAGCTCGTAATAAAACTGTCAGTGGCACAATAAACTTCTTCGTTTTGACGAAAGCGGTTTGAAGATGTCACCACTTGTTCAACATTTGTTGGAACAATTTTTGGGACATTATTTTCATCGATGGGAGAAGATAATTTTTCTTACTTATAGGTTGTACCGAGAATATATTTTCCTTAGGCTACAGCCAGTAAAGCTGTTGGAATAGAAAGATTGAATAGAAAGATTATTAATAGAGCATTTAGACACGCAATTAATACGGTGGGAAAATTAAATGTTTTTATTTCGAAAATCCATGATGCATTTAAGCCGCAAAATGTGTATGTTATCCAGATTAAATTTTAAATAACAGTTTTTCACAGTTAAGCACGTAAATGACACCTCAAAAACAAAAAAATTTCGTATGATCGGCATGTAAGACATCATATTCTTTTTCATGCAGAAATTGCTCAGCTATGAAATTTAATTGTAAGCTAAATTTCAGAGTAAAACTTCAATAAGATTCATTTCGTCAGTACAGGAAGCGAAGCAACCCATTGTAGATGTTATTTGTGTATCAAATGCAGTATACTGTATTTCATACAGAAAGACTTTTATTTTGCTATTGGCAGTTACGTGTTCGTTTTGTCGTCACTTGAGACATATTGTTCTCACATTTCAATTTATTTTTGTTTATTGACATCCAACGGAAATCTGCCAAGCAATAACTTGGCTGGTATAAGGATAGACAGCAGACTGTCCAAACTGTCCGTTTACCAAAAAGCTTTCAACTGAAGCAAAGGTTCGAAGTTTTGCACCGAAATGAAAGATGGTAAGAAAGAATCATTTGTTACTTTTGAAGCATGTACGATTGCGATGGATGCATGAGGACTCGGTGAGTTATCGGTTGGAAGTTTATTTACGAACTCGCATGCAGCCGACATCATGCATGAACGATATGATGCAATACGCTGTAATAATAATTCAATCGAGTGCTAAAAGCAGTCCAGTTTCCAGCTGTCACTGATTTTTTAAGAACTATTCAGCAAATTGTTAAAGTTATTAATAAATCTTTATAGCTAGTAAGAAGCAATGGAAATTTGCATATAAAAGGAAACAAGTGAGGAAGCTTCTGTTTTGAAGGAATATTCGTAACGTAAGATTCGTAACGTAAGATTGATCATGAGTCAGACATTTGCCTACGAGTTAAATCACAAATGATAGCTTCTAATGATTTCACGGCCATTTTTTAGCGTGCACAAGCGTCGTATTGTATTGGAAACATTTGTACAGATGAGAATTAGATTTACTTATGCGCAGAAGTAACTCGGTGAAATTGTTTGCTATGTTCAAAGTTGGAAAACTATAATTAAATTTGAACTGTACATGGCTCACTTCCTAGCTTAAATAACAAAAAAATGGGATAATAGTTGTTGAATAATATGTAATACAGACAAGCAGACACAATGTAATAAAGTTGGAGATCATAGAATAGAGAACTGTATTATTTCTTTCAATTCCAAACATAGTGAATTCATTCATCTTATTTAATTCGGAAATTCCGATATAGAGTTACCATTTTGAATATAGGAAGAAGGATTGGTAATTAAGAGAAGCAGAAGGTGATGTGAAGCAGAAAGTTGATGTGATTTATGAGGGTGTGGAAACTGAAGCGCCATGTTTGACACTCGTGTCATGGAGTTATAGTTTCTGCTGACCACAAGTCACATGAGAGGCAGTCGAGATTTTCTGTAGAGCCTGTGACTCGTGCTTCTAAAGATCAGGAAACGCGTGGCCTTATTTTGAGTTGTCTTTCCCAAACAGTTGTGCCGAAATTTAATGCGTTACGTCAAAAATATTGTGCTGAGCGTGCTAAGCTGAAATGCTCTGGAAAATTACAGCGGAAAGTTCTCAAAATCTCATTCTTCCGTTCAAAGATAAATAGCAAAATCAATGCTTTTATAAATATATATTTTGGATGGGGTTAATTCAATGTGTTGCTTTTTCTTACAGCATAAGTAGCAGGAATAAAATTCATTCCGAATACTCGCTTTACTTTCGTAATTATGTCCAGATATACGCACCTTCTGTTTGACGACCAACCAAAAGTCTACAAATTGTCTGATGGTATTTTGTTTTTGGCAGGGGAGGGGGGGGGAGGATTTAAAATAACAAATGCTTTATCACTTTCTAAACATTTCTCACTTCCATCCACACTCGTGACCCTTGCTTGCTTCTCATAAAAAATTTCCCCAAGACAAGTCATTATTTTCGTGGCGTAGCGGTCCGTAGCAATGGATGAGACTCTTGGAGCAGACGAGGGTTCGAATTTCAAGTCACCTGTTGCGTGTGTCAGTGAGGGACTGAAGTGGTCAAGACACTCGTGAGAACATGACCTCTGAGTTCAATCTCGTTTGGATCCAAAGAATAGTAAGGTATTCTTCACTTCAACGTTTCTTCTAGACATAAATGTCAATTTGTATATATAATAATCATTATAGTGTACTCATCACTGGTTTCTGCACTGATAATTTCAAGGAGCGCAGCTCTGATT